GCCAATCGACGTTCCTACGGTATTTCCCTTTCTCGATTTTCTGCCAACGGTGGTGGCCAAGTAACTCTACCACTGGACCATTTCCGGTGTGCTCTTTGACGACTGACTGAACGACTGCAATGCTCCCAATCCAGTTAATAATTGTTGATGTAAACCGCATATCTCTCAGACATGTAACAACGCTGATTAGCCTCCCTTGTCGAATTTGTGTGCTTGGAATATAACTCCGGAGGGAGAGAGATGATGTCCACAGTTTGACTCTTCAACTCTCGAAGAATGTTGTTTCTCTCTGTCCGTTTCTCATAACATCCATGAGGAATTCTGTATTTCACTCATACTCGATGTCGAGTATCGATGGCTTCCGTCGACAGAACTTGTTTCTGTCGATTTCATATTGACCGTGGACAAGAATAGAGTCACGTCAGGCATATAATAATGGTCTTAAAAACCATGCATATTTTAATGTCACTTAAATCAGAATAATCCCTTCGTTTTCCATGACAAAACAAGTAAATATTCTTGGATGTTCAGTCTCACTTTTTTCATAAACTGAAATCCTAGAATTCGTTAATAATATTTAGCTAAATATGCTCTGCAAAATAATTTATCTTGAGTTCTTCATGTGGTTCATTAAATATAGAAAGCTGTCATTCAAATGCAAAGACAGAGGCAAATATGTACAAATTAGCAGAGCTGTCGCAATGACGGTTTTGTGCCAACTAATAATGATATCCGAAGAATGGCTAATTTGAACATGTGCGAAGAGCAGCGCAACGAAGCGTCTGGTCTAATGATCAAATATTGACTGCTGTTATTAAATTAAATGACATTTGTCATTAGAATACCACAGCCTGGAAATTAAAGAAGTGAGCATTAAAGAAGTTACCTGTTTTCAAGTCAGTATAGTAATTACCTTCACCTACAAGGATTAATGCAGTACATGGTCACCGAAATTGTGCCATCTGTGATTCAAAACAGAACTCACACAAATGAGGCTTATTTGAAGGACAGCTAATGTTCCGAGTCCATAAAAATTTGGAACGCGGCAATTAAACCTCCTCTCGATCGCTATCCTCCCTTTTCCAGGTCTCTAGATTACTGTCAGGATGAGAATACCGAGGAAATGCTCATAAGACAAACTTTCTTGGCAGGACCACGGGGAAGACAGCCGAAGCAAACAGCGGATAAGAAGGACTTGTTGGATAGAAGACTAGTTTCTCGTCGAGACCAAAAATGAGCATTCACAGATCAACCGTTTTTCACATGCCTAATGATATTTTTTCGTACATAAAAAATTTTGTTCAAGTATCTCATCTGGATCGCCCGGTATTCAGGGGTGGATCGCGTCGGCTGCAACACATGTTGTCATAGTGTATGGAGTATGAAGTGTCCTACTTGCTGACAGGGCTGACGATAGCCTGGAATGTGGCTAAATTAGTAAAGAAGAGTCCCCATATTCCATTCTGTTTTTTACCGAAGTTTTCTCTCCTAACCATTGAAGAATGGAGGTCTAACAGCAAGGCGCATGTTACATTGTTGGCCTTTTTCTTCAGAGGGGCGGATGGCATTCGCATTGTCATGTGACCGTCATGAGGCTGTGTGACTTTCCTAAGGAACGAACCTGTCGAGCTAGAACCCAGACGCGTCATGGTAGTCTCATCGCCATCTGTACGCAACTGCTTCTTCATCGCAGCAAACCTCAATATCTGAGGGTTGCCCCCTATTGGCATCCTTAGGAGGCACCAGATGGCCTGCAGCTAGGTAGCTAGGTGCACTGGTGAAGCATACAATATCTAAATAATTATTCTTATGTATTGTTATAATGACCAGTAATTGATTTAGGACCAGCTACATGTTATCAAAACGATGCGTTTAGGGGAAAACAGATAATATGCACCGGAAACCACCATGGAATGCGACAGTTGCTGCCGTTAACTCCATCGATCTCGGGATCACGCAACCACTCAAAGTTAGTATCGTTAGCGATGAAGAATGCAGTTTACAGTGTAACATCATTTCCTTGGGTATCTTGCCTTGAGGAACGTCGTTGTTGTGTGACTGAAGTACTGTTT